TGCTTCTGGGGTCTTCCCTCATTCCTCTGTATTGAAAGCCAGTACTCATATGAAAGCGTCTGCTTGCCCTTTCTTTATAGACTCTGACTCCTTTTTGTTTGTTTGTGTTAACCAACCCTGGATCATGTCCTCCTGGAACTTTGTTGAGACCATGCTCCCAGGTGCTTTTTGTGATGCTGATAATGGTAATGATAACCTACATCTGTCCTTGATCTACCATCACAACTTGCTGCTAGGTTTAGGATGCACCCTCCACCCCCAAGGTTAAAAAAAAAAAAGCTGGACTCGCTACCATCAGTTTTATTCCGCGTGTCCTGTGTGCTTCATTTCTTTGGAAAGCCCTTCAGGCTAATAGCTGGGATGATGAAAGCCCTGGCAGTTTCTGCTGGCAGCCCCCTTTCCTTAGCTTTAGGCACTCTCCTTTGGCAGACCTCACTGAGCTTCATAGACGTTTACCTGGAAGGGAGGAAAGTGATTGCTTTAGATCTCTGGAGGAATGGCTGGTGGTTCAGGGGGTTCTGCTCTCCAAATTTCGCTTAGTCATATGATTTGAAGCAGGACGGGCAGTTCTGAGAGAGCAGTTGCCATCCAGTCGATTTTGAACTCACGAAGTCCATAGGTGTCTGAAATTAAATGTGCCCCATAGATCACTCAGTAGCTGATTGTTTGTGGAGAAGTAGGTCACCAGGTATTTCTTCTGTGGTGCATCTGAATGACCTTAAAACACCTCCAACCTTTTGCTTAGCAGTTGAGCTTCCCTCATTTTTTCGGGTGAGGGGGGCTGTGGAGGGTGGATTGTGTTTTCTTTATTTCTGTTGTACTCTTTCTGGGCTGGGTTTGGTTGGGATCTGAGCAGGTTGAACCATAGGAAAAGCTTCATGGGGGGTGGGGGTGGGGGGAGGTTAAACGCTGGCGGTTTTATATAATTTGAAGTTAATTCAGCATATGTAGAAAGTCTGAACTCGTTTTTTTGGATTGTTGCTCTTAAAGATGGACTGTGAGAACATAGTCCCCAAGCTCCTGCTACAGCATGACAAAAATCCAACAGGACACCCTGGCTAACATCGCTCTTTTTCCTGTGTTGCTGCGTAGGTCACTCTGCACCTGAATCCCATTTCCTCACTCTACGTTCACGACAAGCCCTTCGTGTTCCTGCTCAACTCCCCGAAGCCCCTGATCTGGCACTTGAAGACAGAGAAACTTGCAGATGGGGTCTCCCGACTTTTCTTGGTGAGTGTTGTTTACAGCCCTCACAAACAGCGCCCGAGCATGAGATGCTGCTGCTCGAGAACGTTGTAAAGCAACTTCACAAGAACTGTCTAGGCTCACTTCATTAAAATGATGCCAGATGCTAAATATTACCCGAGTCTAAAAAGGATCGAATGGAGGGTGTGCTCTGAGAGAGAGTTGCATGGCGTAGATTAGCAGTCACAGAAAGCAAAGCACCCACACTCATCTGTGGATGGACAGCGCTCCAGTTTGCACATCTGAGCAGGACACGCCCACACTGTGTGGCCTGCACTTTGGTTTGAGCTCTGAGACCCTCTTGGGCACCAGAAGCCATGCAAACATTGCAAATGGCCCCTGGGTGTGGGTGTGTGTGGTCTCTGGCCACATAATAAATATACACACACCATTCTAGTTTTGTATAATCCTGGCCTGGTTTCTGATAGGGCCTCTGTTTGTTGAGCAAGTGACCCAGCGAGCTCCAAAATGAAATCATTTGTATTTTATTAAAAATCTAGAGCCCAGCTCTTGTGGCAAGATCCAAATATTACATACTATTTGTAAATCATGTCCTCTTGACTCTGCCAGAACATTCGTTTGCTAGTTGTGGAGAAATAGATGGGTTGTTGGGATGGGATGCTTTGAGGATGATCTCATGTCTGATGATGAGCAACACTGCTGCTCTGTAGTGGTAACAACTTGGGTTGTCGATTTCAGGAGCTCCCTGCAAATACCCCTAACTGCCCAGCCTGGAACTTTAAATCTCCCTCGGCCCACACACATCCCAGACTTACAGGTGCCTCCGTGAGTGGCCTTCCCTGCATAACTTTGCCCAGTTAACGATCCTTAATACAGATCTGTAAATTCTTCTCATTTGTATTTGAAGGGTATTAGTGAAAACTCAGATGGACCCGTCAAATGAAACAAGAATCCATAGTCGATGTGGATAATAAGTGGAGAAATAAAAGGAAAAGCGAAGAGAGGGAAGGGCCTCCTTATAGGAGAAGGCCGGTGAATAGATAGGGGAAGAGTGTGATGGAGTTACACTCTCGTCATTTCCCATCTTGGTAAAAGTTGATCTGGCAAGAATCACCAGTGGATGTTAAGTCTAGCAGGCGTGGTAAGAGTTTGAGAAGGAGGACATTTACATGGTCTCAAAGTATCTTTCCACAAATGACAGCGGGACTATAGTAAGTATATAACAATCACTTACCCAAGGGATCAGAATCATCATCACCAATACGGGGCAGATGGATATGGTATGCCTTCAGATGAGGTGCCCTGAAAAAGAGCACAGTGCCACCCGTGAATATTCTGCCCAGAGTGTACTCACGAGGGAACATTGGGCAAGACCAAATTTAGTAACACAGACTGTACTCTTCAACAACTGCAGCCATGAAAGACAAAGGCTGCTGAGCCCTTCCAGCTTAAAGGAGATTCAGAAGACATTGATTCTGCCCTTGATCTTATTGAGGATGGGGAACGGGGGCAGTTGAAATTATGGGGGTGTTGACAACAGAAGACATTGGAGGTTAGACTATAGATTAAAATATTGTATCAATGTTAATACTTCTTGAATCTGTTGATTTTACTTTTATGTAAGAGAGTGTCCTTGTTCTAAGCAAACATACTTATACATTTAGGTATTAAGGGGTAAGGGACCAAATAATCCATAAAGGGGAAAACAAACAAAATCCAAAACAAACCAAAACACCCAAACTTGGATGTATAGAGAGCATAATAAAGCAAATGTGGCAAAATGCTAAAACCTGGTTTCCATGTCTACTCCATATCCTTTGCTTAAAGGATAAATAAGAATTCTTTGTACTATTCATGCAACCTTGCTGTTTACTTGAATTATTTTTAAAACAAAGCATTTAAAAATTCAAAGGTACATTTTACAAGGCAAGATTTACTAACTAGTAGACTATTTTGAAGGTCGAAACACTTCTTATTTCTAAATTCAAAAGACCCAATGTCAATAATTAAATAGTTTTTGTATGACTGTTATTAGCTGTGATGAAGTGAAATTACTTGGTATGGCTCTGCTATCCTTTCTTTTTAACTTCCACCAAATGATTGGGTGGGGTCATGCAACTAGAGCCTGTGAAACCCTTATCAAGGGAGCTCATCAATCTTGCCATTCCCCTGGGTCTATAAGCGAGCCATCTCTGAAGCAGGAAGAGAGAATCCCGTGACCCTCAAGAAAGACGGGCCACTGGTCGAGTGCATGCTGATCCCTGTCCAGAGTGGAGGAGATCCCAAAGCACTAGAGGCTGCAGCACCAAAATGATGAGGAGGGCAGAAGAGCCACAGAGACCATAAAACAGAGCAGAGGAGCCAGAACCAAGACCACGAGGCAGCGTGGCGGGCTTCCCAGGCCACGGAACAGGGCTGAGGTCAAGGGACTGTGTGGCTGAGAGGTTGAGGAGCAGAGAGAGGCATGCCTGCCAGTGTGGCTGAGAAGCATTGTGGACAAAAGAAGTGTATCTTTAACATTTTGTAACCTTTAACATTTAGTAACTTCTTCGTTTCCCTAACCATGCCAATAATCACTGATGTTGTCTGTGAGTTCTGCTGAGCTATTACAACAGATTATCAAACCCAGCAGAATAGCAGAGCTGAGGGAGGGATGACTGGTATCAGAATAGGATAAAGAAGGATGGAGGGTGGAGGCTTGTCTGGCCTCTTCCTTTTGGCGTTTAATTCTCATAATAACTGTATGATAACGGGGATATATATTCTCCATTTCACAGATGAGGAACTAAAATGGTAGAGAGGTTACGTAGAGGACAAGATCACAGGGCAAATCACCGACAGTGCTGGGAGCCCATCAGAGCCTTACTCTGTAAGCTCTTAGGCTAAAACACATCTCTTTGTGTTGATAATCATTGTCAATCTCATGCAATTAAAGTATTTATGATAGTAAAGTGAATAGTGGTGATCATAAATTCATACATATTTAGCTTCCTTTTAAGGCTCCACAGTACAATACTGTAGGTACTAGCTACATGATGCTACTTACGTTTCATCTCATTGGACAGCTCTGCCGAGGTTGTGAGCATAGATTTTGCCTGCCCTGGTTTGAACTCTGTTCAGCTGTGTTACTTATCACTCACTGCCCCCAGTCATTGGGAAAAGCTGAAGGTTTAAATTCCAGGACACCTGAACTCTGCTGTTGGC